TTTTTTAGTAAACCATTGAAAATCAAGCAAGACACTGTGAAGATTGACGTGGATTTCTAGATGTACTAAACGCGTATCTTTGATTTCAGATGTGGTGAACTCTTTTCAAAGTGAGATAACTAGTGTCCAGGTCAGCATGGTCCCAAAATTGACTGTGTCCCTTTAAAAATTAACAATGAATTGGCCTGCTCTCTGCCAATCACAATGAAGAAATTTCTCAGTCATATAAAATATCTTACATCTTACAGTATGGATCGCATCCCTGTGATATGCAAATTAGCTATGAAATGGTATCAAATGCGCATGTGTGTCAGCTGACTGTGTCCCTTTAATACTGTCACATCATTATTATACAACATGGACATGTGTAACATCTCACTTGTTACTGCAAACTGATCAAATATGCTTTTTTTTACAATAACTGCAGAAATTCTAGTGCATTCATTGACTAATTTTCATTGTCATTAAGTGGACAGACACATGAATTTATAATTTATGTGACAATGACACTGACAATGAGTGAGAGTGGACATTTTGACAATTTGTTATTGTAAAAAACACAAAAATATTGACATCAGCTTTCCATGCATCTGCTCTGTTATTGACAATGAATTTCATCATAGCATTGTCAAAGTTATCTGCTATCACCTCGTGGATCCACTACTACTTTGACAATGTTATGGCAAAATTCATGATCAATAACAGGACAGATGCATGAAAAACTGACATCAATTTGTTAAATGCACATTGTTTGTTGAAATCGCCTCACTCCCATGGACGCATGTGATACGTAAACCAGTATAGCCATAGCCATAGCACGGTTGAGTGGGAGTTCTTGTAGTCAAGTCAAATATTCAAAGAATCAAGAAAATGTATCGATTCATGTTTTTTATTTAAGAGAAAAATTGATTGAACTATCATTACATGTACATTATGTTAAGAACCATAGACAAACCCATTTACTTTGGCTCACTATAGCATTCAACAAATTTTGTTTAACCTATGAATTCCCCAGAGTGTTCAACAACTTAATTCTCCTTACAGTACAGGTATGTCGTCATGACAACAGGTGATAAGAATTAAGAAAATCATTAACTGGAGTTGTCCCAAAGTGAAAGAGAATAGCATTAGCCTTAAACCTTGTAATCAATAGCACTGACCAGATCCTAATATTTTCACTTTTTCTATACACCTGTATACCTTTTAGTAGACGGTTACATTGAGAATGAATGAGGTGATCAATCAATCAGAAAAAAAAACGCCTTCTACATGTAAAACGTACCAGTCAGAGCTTTTTTTCAGAGATGAAAACAATTTAGCCCTGGACTGATACTTTGCTCTGCCTGGTCATCTGTCACTTTGCATGTATTAAAAACCCAAATTTAGATGGACTTGAGAAAATAAACTCAATCACTGTCACTATTTTTTGTATGTTTTGAAGCCTAAAAAGAGCAGCTTTCACTTATCTAAAACAAAGAATATGAAAAGAAACTTTTTAATTCTGCACATGCACGGGCCTATGACTTGGAGGCATTTCAAGCACACTTTCAGGAGGTATATTTGTTTGCAATGCATTATGGGGTGATCAATGCCAGCATTTCCAAAACAGCAGAAAAAAACTGGTGAGGGATTTGCACTGAAAAATCAATCTTCACTGAATCCAAGCCTGGATGTACATGTACATACAATTGCATAGTCTCTTCAAATGTATATTTGAAAAAGTGCAATATCCCACATTAAATTTTGTTGATACAGCCTTTGCATGTACATATTAGATAATTTGTTTTTTAATGTTAGCATGAATGTAAGATGTAAACTGTTGTGAAATAAGGCTCAAAACCCGATATTTAAAACGTATAAATTACTAATTACTCATGGTGCATGGGAAAAATCCTCAGCCAATGCATTCTGTGCCTATTATTGCTATGCATTCCCACTAAGTTGCAAAAACAGTTACATTAAAAATAAATTTAGAGTATAAAATCAATCTCCTTTTCTCCCAAGAGAGGTTTCGTAGTTGAAAAATATACTAAGGACTCAATGGTACGGCTCTGTACTCTTCAGAAGTGTATTCAAAAGTTTCATTTCCCACATTTTTTGATGCAGGCAAAACCTTCTGTGCGTGTCATACTGTTTTGGTATCTAAAGCAAAGCTCTGTTGTAGATATGTTGTAGAAATAAAGACACTTAAAAAATTTTAAAAGAGAAATAATTATTGGAGCACATGTACTGTCAGTGTGTCATATCTACTGGTGACACACTCATTTTTTCAGTCTCTGATGTTAAGTTTCTTTTCAAAGCAACTGAAGTTCTAGCTAGTAACCACTTGGCGAAAACATCTCAGCCCCCAGCCCTTGGTGGCAGCCCCGCAGAAAGAATATGAGGACTACAGGTAACCTGTTAAAGTGGGCTCCAGGGGTTCAAATGTTGTGAGAAACTTGGCATATTCCTTTTGGAAGATAATTTCCATTATCAACTCAAACAGGTGTTTGATCCAGAAGACACCCTAAAACCATTGTTGCTAGTAACATGTAGCTTGTGTGGTAAGATTTGACTTACTTTTTCTGTAGCTTCAGGATTATTAGGATTTTTATCTGGATGGTGCTTCAGTGCCATCTGAAATAAACAACCAACAAAAACAGCATTATTTTATGATATTTATACTTCACCAGCAAAAGGCTCATTGACAAGTCTAGTATCCACTGTCCAATGGCCAGTTTACATTGATCAAATTAAAAAATTGACGTTTACTTTTACAATCAAACTTACAAAGCTGTGAACACTTAAAAATGTCTGGAGTGTTTATTGTGTTATAACCAATCACGAGAGTGACCTTCAGACCATAGAAACCACAGAAATCGGATCTATTCCATCGGTCACGGAACAAATGTGTTTAGTTTCAACTATTGATCATCAAACAATAAACATTCCAGACATATTTTAGGTGTTCACGGTTTTGCGAATTTGATTTAATTTACCATTTACATTTCACATTTTCTATCATGAAAGGTTTTGACACTCAAGTACAATATTGAGGTATAACTGTCCTGATCATAATTATTTCTAAGCTATGCAACCCCTGCATCACCAGTTTCAAAGTACAAAGAGAAGACAAAGGGGCATTTCAGTCATTAATATAATTAGCACAACCATTTGGATAGTGGCTTCTATAAGACCTCAACTAGTTTAGCATAAGGAAGTGGTAAACACTCACTGGGCCGACATCAAAGAGCCTCAAACTGAATACATTTACTTCTCAGTTCCATTTTCCTACCAAGAAGCGGAAAAGGGAGAAATTGTAGACCTCCAAGAGCACAATCTTAATAAAGCCTGTAGAAACACTTGATCCCAGACCTCTTGATCTCAATCCAGTGTGCAGTTACCACTCAAACACTACATCTCCCACAAGGCATGCACACTGTACCCTTACAAATATTCTGGACACATCAAGTTAGAACATTAAGTACATATACTAAAGAGCATCTCTGGCAAATTATTTGGGTTGAGCAAGTAACAACTAAATCTGACTTTACTTCAGAAACAAGGAAACTAATATGTCATTGTGTATTGACCAAGATTTTAAAATTGTGTTCATTTCGATCGAAATTCAAACGCAATTAAGCGTACATGCACCTTCGGACAGTCGTACAAATTTGAAATCAAATGGATAATTATTCGAAGTCACGCCTCGCCGATATTGAAATCAAACGAGCCGTTATATCTAAACTCACAAACCACTTCTCCAGGCGGCTTGAGCAGCCCCTGCAAATCCTTACAAGAGATAACTATCGGCTATAGAAGACTTATGACAGATTAGACCAAGAATTTTCATTTTCCTGATGCGATCTGAGTTCCAGCTGGAAATGAGAAAAACGTTTCCGTATTTTACAACCGCAAACCACCACTGTACATGCCCGTGAAGTTTTCCTTTCACTGACCGAACAACACAAGACTAATAGGAGAGAAGACAATGTTGAAACCACCAAAGGGACTGAAGGTCTTTTGAAACCGCTCAGCATTTTGCGTAAAGCTTTACACAAATGCACGCCGTGTATCGATAAACTGTTTGTGTCCTTTGGACGAATAAAAACCATCACAAACCGAGATTTAAATAGAGAATGCTTACGTCAAAGTATGGTCCCTGTCTTCCCCTTTGTTTTCGCCATTGACACCGGAATGCGGTGCCATAATAAAGGCGAAACCGAGCGAGTTTAGCTGTTAAAACGCTGTTTCTTCACGCAGCTCCATTCCATTTCTAACAACTCCCGCGAACCGTGACGTCACTCGGGTCATTCCCGAAGCACCTTGGACACGTGACCGATAATTCAAAATATTATTTTATCTCGCGAAGCGCGATTTTTTCCAAGATAAAGCGCCTCCAAATTATCTCTTTTTATCGCAAAAAATGCCTGTACTTACAGGTGGAGAGTTACGAAGAAGCAGCCTGAATTTATAGGTTCCTCTACGAATCACGAAAAGGGCAGAATACACTCTTTATAATCTCATTAATTCCAGGATATCTTTCATGATCTGTAAAGATTTCACAATTACAAAAGCTTACATAGCCGCAAAAAGTTAGCTCTCAGGCTAATTGAGGAGATCAATAATTCAAAGCTTGCGATGATTGAAGACACTGAACTCGTACAAGAAATTCTAAAAAGATATTTTTGCCCCGTGACGTAACTTTTGATTACATGGTCATCCAGTGGAAAGTGAACATGACTGTTCACATGCACGAAGGTCACGATATTGACAAACACTGAACCGGGAAATAATTCCGTCGCGTCATCAGGTAAAAAAAACGTTTATTAGAGAAGCGTTTCATAATTGAGAAATAGCCTTGCCTTTCAATTTACATCAGTGATAAGAGAATCGAATCGGGTCAAATTAGAGTTGCCGAATAGGTCTTTATGAACCACAAAAGCCAAAAACGTTCGGCTAAGATCGACATTTAGATTTTCATTTAGATTTACGCTCTTTTTCACTTACTATATTAATATTTGCCGTGGCCTAGCGATAAATAAAAATATAGGCTATTGTTGAAGCATAAATTCATTCTTTTGAAAAGGTTCATACGGTAACAATTTAATCAACATATGCAAGTTTAAATTCCTAATTTGGTGATCTTAAGCTAAAGCTTACTTCCCGATTATACTAAAAACTGAAATCCTGTCCTTGCACTTAACTGAGCTAATGACTAAGATAAGCCAAAAAACCAAACAAAAATGGATTTCAGTTTATTGGAGTGGCTATGTCGAATTTCTGGGTTATTTTGTTTGAGAAATGTTTTGGTCGGGTAGCATTTCTCGTAATAAGGTCTGACATGAATGGCTTGATACTCGTTGAGACGACAACAGGACAAACAACAGAAACAATGCCTCTAGCCCTAAAACAATAACAGCTGCTGCAATAATAAAACAATAGCAGCTTAAGGGAGCTGCGACACTTTCGAAAATTTTTCGACAATTGTGGACGATTTATTTATGTGAGTGGGTAAGAACGGAAATGTAGCTCGTGTTAATAATAATGATATTGCGGCCACGTATACACTGAACAATTGTTGAGAAGAGTATAATTGCAACTGACAGACAAATGCTCATAAAATTTGACAGACAACCTGGCAAACGGCAAAAGGGTGAGCGTAAATTTAATTGGCAAATAACTCCAACTGTCACCGACAGTCGACATTTATACCTCATAAATCACACCTTGATATAACGCGCATTTTAATTGGATACCGTGGTCGAATGAAATAGTCAATCTAGCAGCTTTAAGCTGAAGCGAGAACTGATGTAATATCGCCCCAGAGCCCGTTTTCGGTCAGCGATCGATGGCCAAACGAAAAAGGATTGCAGCCTCTGCATGGGAACGAGATTGGGTTTGATCTTGCGCGAAATATTGCGAAAAATGAATTTGAAGCGAAAATCAAAGTTATAAAATTTAACTCTTATGAGATCACGTAAAAGTCACCACTTTACCCATATTAGACTAGGTGATTAGACCTAATTGTACCTTTCTGGTACGCTTCGGCGGCATATCACGCGAGTTTGGTTGAGCCATGGTTCGCCGGATTTCTGCGACTGGATGTAGTCGTGACAAAATACCCACGGTGAGATCAAACAAGCCTTATACACCGCCAATGCGCACCAAACGAAGTAACGTTAGGTATTTACCCTACCCAAATTCCCCTAAGTCAGCTTGGTGACGTAGCCATATATATCAGGTCATTGATTTGATATCGAAGGATATCGGGACAGTAGGCACGGCTTCTGATTGGCTAATTACGGATTTGTTTACGGTAATATAACACGACAAGAACACTCGAGTGACTTTTGTATTACCCCAATTATGGTTCTTGGTAAATGTGCCCAAACAACACTTGCTCTGGTAAATTCCCTTCTCGAGGATATTACTTTTTTTTTAGAATTAAAACTAGTCAGGACCTGATTTGAATTTTTTTAATGGACTTTGTTCAAGTCCAAGTGAAACGTGACGCGTGCGATAGCTGGAGTTTCTTGATCTACCGTGCATGTACAAGAAATCTTGCCATGCAGCATAATATTTCACGAAAGCACTGTTCACTTGTTTCTCACGAACCAACTCAAACTATGGTGAAAATTGCAATGCATGGGTGGTCAGAGAGCGGTATAAACGGTCCAAAAACTTGAACCCTGTCAGAAACTTCTCTGATTGCATGATTCCATGTAGCCGTGCGTCTGTTCAGTAATTGATCACAGATGACCTCAAAATGTGGTAGGAAAGCAGGATCTATATTAACTAGGGCGCCAGGATTTCAATTGAATCAGTAATGCATTTATATGTCCTATCGTCCCTCGCTTTCTCCTTCTATGCCTAACTATATTGATAGCTAATGTCAACATAGTATGTTGAGCTTCGATTGCAAATGAACGCGTCATCACCTTTTCCTGCATAACTGGAAATTTTCTCGGCAGCCTACGTACGCGTAATTTCGAAGAGCGATAAGTTCGCGATACTTAATTTTCGCACATTTGTTTGACATCAAACTTAAGCGATTTTTTTAAAAACGCAAATTTCCCCTGCCAAGTTTCGTGCAGTAAGGTACTTTTTTGATAGGGTCAGACGAATATTCATCGGTGAAGCAAACGCCTAAGGGCAGTGTGGACGAAGGGGTGTTGGGGCGGATTTCATTCCAATCCCCCCTAGTCTAAAATGTCTCACCTCATAATCCTCGCCTCATTTCGAGAGAAAAACAGACTGCCAGGCGTCTAATTTCCACCGCTCTCTCAGGTCCGGTCCCCGAAGAAGAACGCGCGGGCTCACCTTCCCTGAACAGCGGCTGGTAATCGAGCCTACAAGGTACTTTTTCCCACTTTAGCTGACACTTTAGCTACCTTATTTGGAATTTTTAAACCCGGGGCAGGTTCAGCAATGAAACTCATTTCCCGCCAAAAAAAGTTGCGAAGTGTTCAGGTCCTTACTTTGTAACAGTTGACTAATCAACCGAGCTGAATACCATTGTGGTACGTCTATAGTTG